TATTTGGTTAAACATTATTCTGAGTGTTTCTGTGAATGTATGTTGGATAAGATGAACATTTAAATCCTAGACTGAGTAAAACAGATTGCTCTCCCCAGGGAGCATGCATGAAGTATCACCAACTGGTTGCAGGCCTGTAAAGGACAAAAGGCCTGATGGACCTTCAAGTAGCAGAGACTTCCTCCTGCATGCCCATCTTCAGACTGGGACATGGGCTTTTTCCTGCCTCTGGACTTGAAACATCTGCTCTTCCTGGCTGTCAGGAGTTCTAGGCTCTGAATGAGAATCCTGATTCCCAGGTCTTCAGATAGAAGGTGGAATTAGCTTAGGCACTGTCCTGGTCTCCAAGTTGCTGACTCACCTACAAATCTTGAGACTTTTCGGTCTTCAGAATTGTGTGCAGGGGCTGGGGATTTAGCTCAGCGGCAAAGCGCCTGCCTGGCAAGTGCAAGGTCGTGAGTTCAGTTCCTGGTACCGGAGAAAAACCAAAAAAAAAACAAAACAAAACAAAACAGAATTGTGTGCAGCAATCCCTTCCTTCTCTAGCAATCACTCTCCCCCCCACTCAACTTTCATCCATTTTTCTAATAGATGAACTTGATAAACACATAACCATACTACTGCTTCACAATAAAATTTTCAAAAAGAAAATCTTTTCTCTCTACTCTAATCTCCATCTGCTTCCACATTTTTTGCCACCCATCTGAAGAAAAATTCTTTTTTTATTTTAAAAATTAAAAATCTGACAAAACAACAATGAAGACAAAATCAAAACAACACAAAAACAATAAAAGTCTTACAAGAGTGTGTGTTCTTTTTTCTGCAGTTCTGTCTTAACTCATTCTATTCTGGTTTTCACAGCAATCAAGATGTTGGAAGTGTTCTTCGCCAGTCACCAATAATTTTCACACTGCTACACCCAAATGATTTCACACTGATCTTCTCGGTAAGTGATTAGCATGTGTAATAACTGCTCACCTCCCCTCGGACGTAATTCCGTCACTCTGCCTCCATGGTGCTATACTCTTATTTCTGCCCTTCTCAGTGTCCTTCACTATTTCACCTCTTGTCCTAGCCTTATAGGGTCACAGGGTCACGGGGTCAGTCCTTGCCTTTGCCCCTACTCTCTGCTCTGTATACACTCACATCTTCAACACACTCAAGTGTTGGAAAGTGCTTTCAAATACCAGCCTTTACACGACTGACAGACGGATAGATGCAACCCAGCCCTCTCACTGTACTTCCAACCCATACGTCCAGTTGTCTTCTTGATAGCTCCTCTTAGATGTTTAATGGAAATCTATAATCTGAAATGTCCAAAACTGTGATCTTGATCTCCCATATATATGCTCCCCTGACAGCCTTCCTCTATTTATAAGAGCTCCATCTTTCAGTTACTCTGGTGAAAACCTGACAGGCCTCCTGGATTTTTTCTTTCTTCTCCACCTGTGCCGTCTTTTAGGACATCTCATTTGACTCTATGTTCAGAACATCCACAGAATACAGCCTCTGCTCACTATTTTCAGGTCTAACACACTGGATTGTACTTTGTATGCGCCGATTCATTTAGAGAAATTTCCTGCATATCCATATACTAGAAATCCTTTGTTTAATATCTTTATCATATTCTCTCTCTACTACCTATAATCATATTCACCTATATAATTTTACTACATGCAGAAGTGTCTGTCTTTTCCTTTAATCCTTGTTTCTTGTGGCTAATTTAAAATGCAAAAGATTCATGCGATCTGAAGAGAAACCAGTCTTGTGGCTAATTTAAAAAATATTGTTTGATGTGATGCAATAAAATATTTTACTACATATTCTTTGACCTTTAAATATTTGCTTTTCTTAATTTAAGCCAGTTAGAAAATACATATAAGTTTTGATGAAGCAGAAATTAAGGATTTTCTTTTCCCTAAAAGTATATTTATTGAATGAGTTGTTTTTCCTAAAATGGTATGTTTTGGCCATCTGTAGCCTCCTAACTGCTGGGAAGCAGGGAAGCATAGAAATATGAATGTAGCCTCCTAACTGCTGGGTCCGCTGGGAGGCAGGCTCAGCCAGGACTAAGGCGCTAGCACTTAATTTGCAAACTGTAAACCAAGGTACTTTGAAGAAAAAATGGTGGTGGGTAGAGAAAGTGAAAAGCAGGCACGCCACGCCTTGTCTTCCTGGCTAACTTTGCTTCCTCACGAACTGCTAAGTGCTCCCTCAGACTTCTTGAAAGACTAGATGTAGAGCGCCTTAGACATGTCTACAGGGTAGAGGGAGAGGAAGTGTAACTACCTGTCTATTTCTCTCCTCCTGTTGGTCCTTCGGTCAATGTTCTCACCAGCAGTCACCCCCCCAAACATCCGGGTTACTTGTCCAGTCCCCAGTGACTTTTCAGAAAGCCACTTTCCGTGCTCCATGGTAGTGGATGTTATCCAAGTTCCAACAAGGGCCATCTGTGGAGTGGGGGTGCTTAGCAGCCTATTCAAATAAAAACAGGAAAGCCCAAGGAATTTGTAGAAGGCAAACAAAACTTCCTTATACAGTCATTTGTCCAAGTTACTGACATGTTTTGATCCATTTCTGATCTATTCTATTCTGGTCTATTTATTCCAGATATAACACCAAGCTATTTTAATTATCATAGATTTACAGGAAATCAAATGTCTGGTAGGTCATGATAAGCACTACTATTATAAGAGTTAAGTTTTCATATATGTTTTAGAGTCATTTCTTCAAGTTCCTTGTAAATAAAGCCATTTAATATCAACAGATAACACATCATGTTTATGAATTTTGAAAGAATCATCATCTTCATAATACAGAATCCTTTTATCTCTGAACATAATGTTTTGAGTTTTTCGTAACTATCTGAAATATTTAGGTGAGATCTGTGCTCCGTGATCTGGTTGTAATCGTGAAGGGGATTTCTTAACTTCCATTTTTAAACTGGTGCTGATAGTTTAGAATATTATTGATTTGCATAGGCTGATCTTTACCCAGTAAGCGTGCTGAAATCTTATTATACCTTCCATATTTTAAACATATTCTTTTGAATTTTCTATCTAGATAATCCTCTTTGAATAAATTTAGATTATTCCTTTAAAATCTTTCAGCTTTTTGCAACATTTACTTTTTCTTCTAATTGTTCTGTCTGACACTTTCAGCATGATGTTGAATAAATGAATTGATAAGAATCATCTTAGCCTTATTTCTGTATTCATTCAATCTGATGATTTGCAGTGTTTCATAATTAAGGATGATTTTAATAGATGCATTCTGTCAGGGAAAAGTGGCTTCCATTGACTAACAATCTGACTTTCATGAATTGATTGTTAATTTTATCAACTGATCTTTCTATATCTGCTTACATGATAAAATATATCCCATTTGACCTGTTACTGTGATGAATTACATTATCTTGTTTTCTAATATTTGAATACAGTTCTGCTGGAACTTTATTTTCATGTTAAACTGAAGAACATATTTTTGCTGGAATTGGCTTTTAAAATTGTCCATTTGAATATTGACTAGCTTTCTATTTATTTCATTACATCTTTTATGTAAACAAACCCTCAGATCTTATTTTATCATGTCTGTTTTTAAACTGTGTACATATGTTTTTCACCTGTTAATATTTCTATGCTTGCTCCCAGTGATTTGCTTATATTGCTCCTCAAGCCCACTTTTTCTCCAGCTACAGATATCTGGTTTTTAAGTAGTCTATTCATTTAATTTTATTATTTTTTAATTTAAATGTGTTGTTTTAGCTGATACATAGTTATGAAGAGCTATATGATGTCCAAGGTCTTCTCTGAGACTTCAGGCAAACTCCTATGTGTGAAGCCCTATAAAAGTGAAAAGTTAAATACCATCAACATACACAGGACAAACCTTCCCATCCTAAAGGAGAGAAATAGGGGAATAGAAACAGCTTGGATCGATGCAAGACTGAAACCAAGAAGGGCAAACATTAAATCCCATAGTTCCGTGTCTGGCACCAGAAGACAAGTTGGGCAAGACGTGACCTGCATGCGGCTTGGGCAGCCCTGCTCCCACAGCATTGCTAGTGGTTGTGGTGCTCGTGACTTTGCTCTTGGATTAGCTTTGCACACTGTTTGTGGCTTTCCTCAGACTTCCCACATTCCCAGCTTCTCCGGCTCGCTGGAGTCTTAGTTGTACTTTCAGCTTCACTCTCACCACTGCATGTCTTGTCCGCTCAGGTCCACTATCTGGCCTCCTAGGCCTTCTTTTGAAATCTGGGTAGAAACCTCTTTGATTCCCCTACCATTACCAAAATTGGTACCAGTAGGTTTTACTATAGAATATAT